TGTAAATGTCTGCTGTTTTATATATTTATTTTTTTATAGACATTTTATACCTTGCCAGCGAATTGGATCACAAGAGGTTGCTCATGAGTTTTTGCTTACATGTGTAGTAGGAGACTAGGAGCTCAAGTAGGTACAAGGTTGAGCTGTAAGCTGTGTATAATTATAGACCACTAGCAGTAAAAATTGATTACATAGGAAGATTATTAGAAATTTTTACGGTTGTAAGGTGTGGTTTAGGATGAAATAAATTCAGCTGCCATTTTGGTTGACAACTTTTAATGGAGAACAAACGGGCTGGCATGAAAACAAACCTGTATTGAGAATTCTGGGGCAAATTGGACCACATCTTTTCGAGAAGAAGCTTAAAGGCAGATCTTTTTTCTTATAACAAGCACATTTTAGCTTTTAATAGAGCTACAGCAGGTAAGTGAGGCATTTTCTTCTTGCATTCATTGCCGACTTCCTTAACAAACTTTCCAACGAAAATGACAGCCAATTATGACGTGTGGGCAGATGCCGTGTATAAAATTAATGAAATTCATTTCCAATTCTCACTTCCAGTGGTCTATAATTAGTTTTTAAGTCAGTTTAGTTTTTAAATTTGTAAATTTTTTATTCATGCATTAAATAATGCAAGCAATTACATATTCCACTTTTATAGTACTTCTGACTATTAAAGCTGTTAGTTTTGTAGTTTTGAATTTACATGTATGCTATTTTTATGATAATTAGAATGTCACGAAAAGCTATCAGTATTGTTCATGGTGGTGGACAAAACTCTGGATGCTATATTTGGAGATGTTGGTACTTAATAGAATAATTATTCATGAAATGATTTATTTTATTATGCTACTAATGTTTAGAATTGTACCTAGAAATTACTGTCGCCCAAAATTTCTGTGAATTTTGCAGATTTTATTTTAGCAAAATCACCATACCTTTCAATGTGTACTGATTTTAAAGGATTAAATTTTCACAGTTTTTGAAATCTGCATAATTAGCAGAAATTTTGGGCCACAGAAATATTTAGCTCCATATGTATGGCATTTGCAATGAAAGGTTTATTTTTAACTTCTTATCTCTGTTAAACAGATAACATTTCCCCAAGACTAGATATATTATCAACTCTTTATTTCCCTTGGCACTACTTAATGTGACACCAGTATATTTCCAGGTCAGTAAAAACTTATATTGCTGTATAAAATTTGTTTTCGTTATCTGTAGAATGACATTCCTGTCAAATTATTTTTAGAGATGAAAATAGGCTACAAAGTTCTTTGTAAACATTAATGCAAAGTACATGTACTTTTTACATTTATTATTAATATTGCTTATTCCTTGTAGACTCAATAGAGTAACCTGAAATCAAATGTGTGGCTAAACAAGCATTTATTCATGTTTGAACTGTTTTTTTTACATTTTTGTTTGAGTTATGAACATTATAAATTGAAGTACAATTTAGTCAGTACTGCGCATGCGCAGATTGCGCCCACGCAAATAATTGGATCCATTCCTGTCTTTAACGGCATGTAGCAAGTCTGAGCTTATTTGCTGCAAAGGGTCAGTAAGATAATACTAAACTGCTGTCCAAAGGTTTCTCTAGCAGTTAGCCTAGGTTAACAAAGCAGATGACAATCTTCTTCGTTCAGTGACTGCTTCTAACTGTAAGCAAAATAACTTTACATCATTAAGGCCGCTCCAATCGAATTAT